CAAGATGTAAGCGCAAGTCAGAGCGCTTGGCGTCAAAGCTTTTCACGGACAGGATTAATAAAGTGAAGACCACTGTTCAATGCCTAAATCCTATAAAGCGATAGATCTGGATTTAATGTACTCCGACCCTTCCACCCAGATGCTAGGGGTACAACCGCATTCTGCAGGCCTTTTAGCCTCGGCTCTTTACGACTAGGTCAACATCCAGGAAAATGACTGGTACTCATCCGATGCCGAAGGTTGGGAAAAACCCTTAAAGCCTTGCCATCTATCCTCCTTTTTGCCTGATCTCGGTGGTGCATATTTTAATAGAAAGAACCATTAGCAATGTTCTGCTTTTCTTTCGATGAAAAACCACATATTTACGTACGATCAGATTTTGTTTAGACCTAGGCGTAGTAAACAGGACCAGCTGCTTTGAATTTACTAGTTCATTTTTGACAGTTTGCAGAACACCGATATAATATACGGCACAAATGCTACTCCCGTAAGAATTGTGTGTATAAGGGATGACTGAGAAAGGCGTCCTTTCCCTATTTATTTGCTGAACCCAATCGAACAGGGATAAACTTCGTAATCTTGAATGGCCAAGAAATAAGACAAGAATTACCACAGGGCCCAGTTCTTTTGGTATCGCTATTTCTGTTCTGTGGCAACGGTATAACAAGGTTTCGAGCACAAAACCCCATTCCAGTCGCTTTTAGGAAGATGTGGCTGGATAAACAAAAGGCCGATCCCTGAATAGGACTCGGGAAAAGTACAGACGACAGTGACGGCCAATGCTCTGGTGTGCTTGTTACAAAGTCGACCGTGGAATCGCTCGACTGCTATGCTTTCTAAAACTATGTGCCCGTACCGATAGCATGCGAAACATATATCCATTTTAAATAAACAATCGGAACTTCTTGAAAAGCAGGCCTTCTCTATACTTTTCAACGAGTGTCTGGCTTGTTGTCATACCACTGGTGTAATGTTTTTTTTTCTATTCATGACTGCATCGAGAACTATTGAAAGTTTTTTTTTGGTAGGAAGTAATACCGTTAACAATTTGAAAAAGAAACTGCTTAGCTTAATGTTGTTTTCATAGATTTGCAGCGACAGAAGTCATACGACACAGAACTCAATCTTGATCTCCCCAACTCGCGGCTGCAAGCCTTTGGTATCACTAAAATCAATTTCCCATCTCCTTGACCGGAGTCCATTATGCAGACTTGCAGTCAAGACCCTCAAGTTGTGACCATAAAATTCAGTCTAACTTAAATGTATAATAAATTGAGTAAAGGGTGTTTTCTGCATTGTAGCCGAGAGGTTGAATATATGGGATACGCTCCGAGCCTCGTGAAAAAGCTTTACTGAAATTCATACGTATTAACAAAAATGTCTAAGAATATTTTCGAATGCAGGAACTGACTTCACTTGGTTTACAGTAGGTATTAACTTAGGCCATAAGGCGAAAGAAATTGAAAAAAAGCAAATCGGTGACTCCAACCAAAATTATTTCTAATGGAAGTCGGGACTACTCACTATGTAAGCCTTACATATCCTCTATAGAGATTGTCGGTGCTTATTAACTTCCTAGAAATCGCGTACTAACTCTTCATCGTTTAGTTATCCAAGAACTGGTATATTTTTGGAATTAAGCATTTGATGAAAGAAAGTATTCCTTCCAATCGTTAGAAGTTTTGAGGTGGATTTATTTCTGCAGAGACCAAATATTGTGGTACATCCCTTTCCCAATTTTTTGGGTATCAGGCAGCCTCCTTATTGACACGTGATATAATCGATTTTCGTCTAGACCCGAGGTTGTTGTTCTCTCCACCTATGAGAATTAATTAATTTAAGAGCGAACGGGCGTGCATCAAACTACACACGTCCCAGCCACACACAAACCAGTTACGTTTAGTTATACTACTCGTAATTAGTGAGTAGTCGTTTATGGTTACTCTTTTCGACTAATCGAGAACTGTTCGCTTATTGCCTGCAATTAAGTAAACAACCTTTTGAAATTTCCTCCTTTGTCGATGCTTTTTAACCGTTTTGTAATCAA